GGCTTCTGGGAATTGCAGTCCAAGAACATCTGGAGATCCCAGTTTGAGAACCGTTGCTCTAGCAGACTGTAGCCTGCACAGCATCACTGGGATAGATATGTGTAGCTAGGCCAATGGAATTTCTATAGTAGTTTTGGTTAGTGAACCAACAAACATCCCTTATGTGACAGAATTCTTATAGGACAGGTAGTGCATCCATCTCAAAAAAAAAGCACTAACATTACTATCAATAATTAAGGAAAAGGCTGGGGGGCAAACCAATTATCTTTATTTTCAATGGAAACAATTTTGCTGTTGTTACACTATGTAAAGTTACTTCAGACATGTGGCAGCTCTACAATTACCTAAAAAAGGATTATCATTAACAGCCCTGATCAAGTCTTACAACTAAAGCTTTGTTTTCTTTTATTGAATCATTTCATTTCATGTTTGGCAAAACACTGTCTTCTCCAGTGAGTCTTGTCTTCTCACGATATGTTCAAAATATGATAATCATCTGGTAAGGTAAAGGTTCCCCTTGACATTTAAGTCCAATCGTGTCCCACTCTAGGGCACAGTGCGGTGCTCATCCCCATTTTCAAGCCATAAAGGCAGTGTTGTCCAAAGACAGTTTCCGTGGTCACGTGGCCAGCGGGACTAGACACAGAACGCCGTTACCTTCCCACAAAGGTGCATGCTTTCGAACTGCTAGGTTGGCAGGAGTTGGGACAAGTGACGGGAGCTCACTCTGTCGTGTGGATTTGATCTTACAACTGCTGGTTTTCTGACCTTGCAGCACCATCTGATTGCACCTTTATTCTGTTTCTTTACAATTAGTATTATTATAATAGTTCTTTTTATCCCTACATGTAAATCACTGAAAAGTTGCATTCATGCTTCTGACCTTATTTTTTAAAATAACATTAACATTAACAATTGTCTTAACACTGACATTAACAATGTTAAGACAACCATCAGCTATCCCTCTAATCTTTTCTTTTTGGCTACAGGAACAGTCTTTTTAAAAATTCTCCCTGATAATATATCTGGTTTCAATTCACAGTTCTTCTGATTCATACATAACTGAGTTTAATAAAGCAAAACATTGTGTTCTTCACACAATGTCTTGCATTCTTCAAGAATGCTATTTATGATGCTCGGTTCTGCTTACCTCCTGCCTATCCATTCCAGTCATCCATATTATCAGTACATTCTCTTCTGATCATGAGCATTATCCTTCTGGATACTTGTTAAAACCTGTGCTGAAGCATTTGTAACTGAACCATAGAGTAGACAGAAAGGCTTTCCATGAAATCCATCTGATATTATTTGGTCATACCTTGCACTACATCTAGGTCTTGCTCATTTGAGTTCCATTGTTTCTTCTGAGATTACTGTTTCCACAGAAAAACACTTTGTAAGATTCTGTTTGAAAATGTCCTATTCCAGGCCACTTCAGCTTGGTCAGACCAAGCATCACAATATTTAAATGTTCAATTTTTTTTAATATAACTTCCTTATCTTGAGACCTACTTCTCACATTTCATACTCCAATTATATGCAACATGCTGCCTTGCACTTTCTTTTGCATTTATACATCTCAGCAACCAAATGTCCTTTGGTTTTAATGCAGTTGCTCCATTAACAACGCTATGTGTACTTATTCTATAGTCTTCCTAAGTAGCTGACTACTTTCTGATCTGGAGTCTCATCTTCCCACACTATCATTTTCCATTTTGAATTAGTTCATCATTGAAAATTTCAGGATAAAAATATTCAGAAGTGGTTTATCATTATTTTCTTTTTACTGCACTGACAAAAAAATACATTTGAGGGTCACTGCCACTGTTTGTGAAAGATTTCCCACCACTGTCACCTTCCATTTCCATTGCTCTCCAGTAGTAGTAGTAGTAGTAGTAGTAGTTGTTTAGTCGTTTAGTCGTGTCCGACTCTTCGTGACCCCATGGACCAGAGCATGCCAGGCCCTCCTATCTTCCACTGCCTCCCGGAGGTCTGTTAATTTCATGTTGGTTGCTTCGCAGACACTGTCCAGCGATCTCATCCTCGGTCGTCCCCTTCTCCTCTTGCCGTCACACTTTCCTAACATCAAGGTCTTTTCCAAGGAGTCTTCTCTTCTCATCAGATGGCCAAAGTACTGGAGCCTCAGCTTCAGGATCTGTCCTTCC